AGTACTGTATTATAGGAATAGTCATCAGGAAGGAGAATGCAAATTAAAAGTGATTCTACTATCAGAATGGCTAAAATGAGGGGGGGGAAAAACATTAGTAAAAAAAAAAAAAAGAGAAAAGAAAAGCTCTTATAACACTGCGGGTGGAAGTAAACTTATATAAACACTTTGGAAAACAGTTTGGCAGTATCCACCAAACACAAACACATGTATAGCCTAGTGTTGAGAACAGCCCTCTTCTAAATAGTCAAGTTTTTTTTTTAAATTCAAGTGTCTATCATAGGTAAAGTGTGTCTACTCATAAAATGGAATACTATACACTATATAGAAATATAATTATCCTATATAATAAAAGGATAATATGCAAACCAACTAAATGGTAGAATGACCCATCACTATGATGCACACTGACCACCAGGTGGCATACGCTCAACGCATGAGCTGCCCCCTGGTGGTCAATGTGCTCCCACAGGAGGAGCACCACTCAGCCAGAAGTCGGGCTCACAGGCAGCTGTGGCAGGAGCCTCTCCTGATTCTGCAACAGCGCTAAGGATGTCCGACTGCTGGCTTAGGCCTGCTCCCTGAGTGCTCCCAGACTGCAAAAGGGCACAGGCTGGGCTGAGGGGCCACTCCCCAAGTACACAAATTGTGCACTGGGCCTCTAGTACATAATCATACCTAATAAAAGAGTAACATGATTAACCATCACTCTACTCCACAAGCCATGCCCACCAGCCAATCAGAGCAAGTATGCAAATTAACCCCAACCAAGATGGCTGCAGCCACAGAGACTTGAGTTCCTCTGGCAACAAAAGAAGCCAAGCTTTCCACCTGTCCTAGCCGGTCTAAGCCTCCACTCAAGGTTACAAAGTTTCAATTGTAGAAGTTAAATCAATTCCAGATACCAGGGCCTCCACTTGGGTCTCCAGGGGACATGGTTGGCCTGCATACCATCACATGCCTCAAGGGAACCCCCATCCTGATCCAGGACACCCTTCAGGGCAAACCAGCTGGTCCCCACTTATGCACCAGGCCTCTATCCTATCTAATAAAAGAGTAATATGCAGATTGACCATCACTCCAACACACAAGATGGCTTCCCCCATGTGGTCAAAGATCCTGCTCCTATGTGGACACAAGATGGCCACCACAAGATGGCCAGCAGGAGAAGGCAGTTGGGAGGGACCAGACCTGCAAGGGAGGGCAGTTGTGGGCGATCAGGCAAGTAGAGGAGGGCAATTGGGAGGCACCAGGTCTGCAAGGGAGGGCGAAGGCGATCAACCCTGTAGGAAAGGGCAGTTAAGGGTGACCAGGCTGGCAGAGGAGGGAAGTTGGGGGCAAATGGGCTGGCAGGGGAGCAGTTAGACATCAATCAGACTGGCATGGGAGTGGTTAGGGGGTGATCAGGCTGGCAGGTAGAAGCGGTTAGGGGCAATCAGGAAGGCAGGCAGGCGAGTAGTTGGGAGCCAGCAGTCCTAGACTGGAGGTCCCAGATTGGAGGTCCCAGATTGGAGAGAGTGAAGGCTGGGCTGAGGGACAACCCTCCCCCTCCCCAGCCCCCATGCATGAATTTCGTGCACTGGGCCTCTAGTATAACAATAAGCCAACTAGCCGAGACCGGTTTGGCTCAATGGACAGAGCACTGGCTTGGGGACTGAAGGGACCCGGGTTCGATTCTGGTCAAGGGCATGTACCTTGGTTGCGGGCATATCCCCAGTAGGGGGTGTGCAAGAGGCAGCTGATCCATGACTCTCTCTCATCGATGTTTCTAGCTCTCTACCTCTCTCCCTTCCTCTCTGTACAAAATCAATAAAATATATTAAAAAAGAAAAAAATAAGCCAACTACAACTACTCACTGCAACAAGGCTAACACTCACAAATACAACGCTGAAATAAGGAAACGAGATATAAAAAGAACATTCAGTCAGGTTTCATAAATTCACAAGATAAACAAAAACTAATCTATGGTGTTTGAGTCAGGAGAGTCATTACCCTTGGGGACTGTACCTATGAGGGAGCACAAAGAAGATTTTACTATTTTGGTACTAGTCTATTTCTTCATCTGAGTGCTGGTCATACAGATACATTTGAAAATTCAACAAGCAGTACATTTATATTAGCACTTATCTGAATGTATATGTCAATTAAATTTACCAACAAAAACCACACATAGAAAAAACATGGAAAAATGAATAAACTCAAAGTAGGAAAACCTTTCTATGACACAAAGACCACATACCATAAAAGACTGACAAATTCATCTATTTAAATTTTTAAAAATAAATTACAAAGATCCCAATAAGCAGTGCTAAAAGACAACCTGTAGGTAAGATATTTACAATTTATATGACAAAGTGCAAAACCTGCAAGAAAAAAGTCCAACAACCCAAAAGAAAAATGGGCAAAGGCTATAGACATTTAAAGAAAATGAAATACAAATAATTCAAATTTATGAAAAAATGTTCAATATCATTCGTAAGAATTAAAAATTAAATCTAGCATGAAATTCCATTTTCCACCTTTTACGGTAGATAAAAATGTGGTAACTTCTGGAAAAGATTTGTACACAGATATATGTAGTACAACATGATAGGCTCTCTTGATAACCATGACAAATGCACATACCCATTTGAACCAGCAAGTCCACTTCCAGAAAAATTATGCTATAAATACTTGCCAATGTAGAAATTAATGTCTATATAGTGAATAAATGTCATTAAGAATTGATTAAATAAATTAGGGCACATCCTAGAATACTACAGTTTTGTGTTTTTAGTAAGAATGAAGAAGCATTCTGTACTGACTAGAGGCCAAGGTGCACGAATTCATGCACCAGTGGGGTCCCTCAGACTGGCCTGTGGGATCGGGTCAAAACCGGCTCTCTGACATCCCCTGAAGGGCCCTGGATTGTGAGAGGGTGCAGGTCGGGCTAAGGGACCCCACCAGCGCACAATCAAGGACAGGGAGGGATGTGGGAGGATTGGCCAGCCAAAGAAGGATTGCGGGAGGGCTCCAGGGCTTGTCCAGCCCATCTTGCTCAGTCCCGATTAACCAGACTTCATCAGCACACTTACCAGCCGAAGTATCTGCCCCCAGTGGTCAGTGAACGTCATAGCGAGCGGTTGAACTGCCTTAGCATATCATTAGCTTATTACACTTTGATTGGTTAAACGGGTGACTGGACACTTATCATATTAGACTTTTATTATATATGATATGAAAAAGATTCCCAGTTATAATATACAGTTGAAAAAGGATAAGAATAGTATAAGCATGCAAACTTGTTTTAAAAAGAACTGATATACTACATATTTACTTCAATATATGTATAAAATACTTTAAGATATCTAAAAAAACAATACTACATTATGTATTAGATCAAATCTAAAACGCCATCAATTGTAAGATGCAGAATTATTTTATAGCCCAATAACGTGTCACCAATTAAATTATGACCATATTCTTATCACATAGGATTATATTTTCTTCTTGTTGAAGGGACTACCTTTAGATTAAATTACCATTTAATAATACATGAGCTTTCATAAAAAGGAAAATACTGGCAAAACATTATTTTTAAATGCAATATCTGCCTTTTCTGAATCATTTTCTGCTCATATTTTGATAATGTAATGATAATCCTCTGAGTCATCAAGAGATTTCTTTTTTAAATGATCGATTACTGTCTCTATGATTTTCTTCCAGGTTGTGTGATAGGACAATCCTTTGTATGTACCTCAATAATAAAACATTCAAAACTTATCACTGTTACATCTAATTTTAAGAATCTAATTTTAGGTTCTTCTAAGTAGCCCTTCTCATATTTCATTGTGTATGCGAACTCTTTAACATTTTACCAAATTTGTTTTTATCTATACCTATCTATATGTGTGTTTTTTCAAATTTATTCCTCTGTATACATTAAAATTATGTTTATTCACAATCCTGTAAAATTTGACAAATGCATAGAGCAACAATTTTCAACTGGTGTAACACAAGAATTTTTAAAACATGCAATACCAGACCTATTTAGTCAGGGGCACTTTTCCCTTGATTATCAAATTCAAAAATTAAAATAGCCAATACAATAGTTGTCCAGTGCAAATAAATCAAAATTATACCTATTTTTTGTCAAATAAGAAAATATTTTTTGGTATGCCACAGAATTTTAGTAGTTTGTGTGTCATGAAATGAAAAAGGTTGAAAATCTCTGGCATGAAATATAGATAGCAACTCTATAGATAACCACCAAAATCAGGATAGAGAATAGTTCTCTCAGTTCCCCAAATTCCCTGTGCTGTTCCTTTGTAGTTAAGCCTTCTTACTCCACTTAATCCCAAATAATCAGTGATCTATCCTCCATTCCTCTAGGTTTCCTTTCCCAGACTGCCATATAAAATAAACTCAGATAGTCATGATCTTTTGAATCTGCATAATGCATTTGAGTTGCACACATGTTGTTGTGTGTATCAATTAGGAACTAGATTTAACTGGGAGAGGGAGGGAAGTAATTGTTAGTTTAGGTTTTACTTTAAAATATTATTAGGTAGGTAGCCCGGCTGGCATGGTTCAATGGTTGAATGTAGACTTATGAACCAGGAGGTTATGGTTCCATTTCCGGTCAGGGTACATGCCTAGATTGCAGGCTCGATTCCCAGTGTGGAGCATGCAGGAGGCAGTCGATCAATGATTCTCTTTCATCAATGATGTTTCTCTCTTTCTCTCCCTCTCACTTCCTCTCACACATAGTAAGTTGTATATACATATTATCAATGAAGAAAAAAAAAGAATAGTTTTCTATATTGTCTTTAATCTTAAAGGCAGAACAACGATATTTTTTAGAATGGTATAACCTTAAGCAAGAAATTATTTAAATACATTATTAATTATACTGAGTTCTTTGAGTCTATAAAACAACAAGGAACATTCTCCCCTTTTAGAGATTTAAGTTACTACATAAATAGTTATTGTCACATAAGTAATGCAATACAATTCCCACCTGATCATCATCTTCTACCACCACCAGGGTTAATTTAGTCTTCTTAAAATCCAATCTAGTTATCTTGGGCCTGTAACAATATAAGAATAATAGCCAGATTAAATTAAAAAAAATGTCCTCTAAATTAAAAAAAAAAAAAATGTTGTTACTTCAAGCACATTAATCATCTAACTTCTGAACCGAAAATTGGTAAGGGTAAAATAAAATAAACATAACCTGCACTGGCCATCAAAAAGGCCTCCAATCTAAAAAAATAGCTAAAATAATAGAAAAAAATTTTCAAAAGCAACACTTCTAGCAAAATTGATGCTGCAAATTTATCAGGCATTGAAAATGTTGAACAGTGCTGGCTCATCAGTTGGAGCACTGTCCCGTCCACCAAAAGGTTTCAGGTTCAATTCCCAGTCAGGGCACAGACACTAGGTCCGTGGTTGGCAAACTGCAACTCACGAGTCACATGCAGCTCTTTGGTCCCTTGAGTGTGGGTGGCTCTTCCACAAAATACCATGGCCTGGGAGAGTCTATTTTGAAAAAATGTCATTAGAAGAAGTTTAAGTTTAAAATATTTGGCTCTTGAGAGAAATTTCAATCGTACTGTTGATATTTGGCTCTGTTGACTAATGAGTTTGCAGGCCACTGCCACTAGGTTATGAGTCTGATCCCTAATTGGGACAGTAGGAAAGGGAACTGATCTATGTTTCTCTCTCTCTTCTTTCCTCTCTCTTTAAAGTCAATAAAGCATATCCTCAGGTGAAGATTTAAAAAATGTTCAGGCTGAAACCGGTTTGGCTCAGTGGTAGAGTGTCAGTCTTCGGACTGAAAGGTCCCAGGTTCGATTCCAGTCAAGAGCATGTACATTGGTTGCGGGCATATCCCCGGTAGGGGGTGTGCAGGAGGTGGCTGGTTGATGTTTCTCTCTCATCGACGTTTCTGGTTATCTCTCTCCCTTCCTCTCTGTAAAAAATCAATAAAATATATTTTAAAAAAAAAATAAAAATAAATAAATAAATAAATGTTCAGGGGGAAGAAGAAAAAAAAACCCGAAAAAATCCATATAAATATTTCTTACACCAACTATGGTTGGATAGATGACAAAGCTTTTTTAAAGGCATAAAGGAAAACATTATTGATTAGGGTCTTCAAATCTATTTTCTATAGCAATTTTGGTTTGAGGAAATACATTTTTAAAAATATTTAAACCTCATTATAGGACCCACTTTCCAACTCTATCTCCATTTGAACTAAAATCCTAAACAACCTATCACATTTGAACTCTGTACTTCTATGAACTGTAATGTCAAAACAATGCAATTCTCACTAGTTTTTAAATATCATCTATGTAAAATACTAGAGGCCCAGCGCATGAAATCTCGAGAGACCCAGATCCTCCACACCGGCAGGACCCCAAACCCACCCTGCGTGAGCCTTGGGGCCCTGTCTCTGTCACGCAAGCCCCTCCAGCCCCCAGCAAGCCCCAACCCATAAGAGGTGTTCCACGCAGCCGAAACCGGTTTGGCTCAGTGGTAGAGCATTGGTCTGCGGACTGAGAGGTCCCGGGTTCGATTCCGGTCAAGGGCATGTACATTGGTTGCGGCAAGAGGCAGCTGGTCGATGTTTCTCTCTCATCGACGTTTCTAGTTCTCTAACTCCCTTCCTCTCTGTAAAAAAATCAATAAAATATATTAAAAAAAAAAAAAAAGAGGTGTTCCTCGCACCTCCTGGTGACCAGTTGCTTGGTCATTCCTCAACAGGGCGTGACAGCCATAGGCCTTTTATAATATAGACAATTGTAAAACAGCCTGTTTGCAAGAGCTGTACTAAAACAGTATGTGAGAGTAATAGTAATAAGTGAAGGAGGGGGAGGACCTAGTACTTATTTAAGTGAAACCAATACTTATATGTAACGCCTACTAAGTATCAGGTACTTTTCTAAATGTTTTACATATGTATTAATTCATTCTCACAACATTCTATGAGGTGGTACAAAAGATGCTTTATCTTCAGCCTAGAGCATTTTCTGGCTATGAATCATATCCTGTCAGCCCACAGGGCAAGTTGGAAGTATAAGAGAATTGACACTCAAGGAGTGAGTAAATAAATGCCCCAGCTCCCTCACCCAGAGAAGGACAAGTATAAAGGTGTTCCATTCAAGTCTCTCAAAGAGTCTCGAACAAGGGCACCTAGATGCAAAAATAAATGGAATACTATGTTCAATGTTTTAAGGGGAAATAATTTTCAACCTAAAATTCTATTCTCAGCTCAATTATCAAGAAAATATAACATTTTAAGGCATCCAAGGATTTAAATAATCCTCTTATCAAGCAGTTACTTGAAATACATACATACATATATGTATGTGTGTGTGTGTGCATGTGTATGTGTGTATATATATGTATGTGTGTGTGCATGTGTGTGTGTGTGTGTGTGTGTGTGTGTATATATATATATATATATCAGAAAAAAACAAAAACAAAAGCAAAGAAAGGGAAATATGGAAAGAGGACACAGAATCCTAACCAAGAGACAGAAAATGGAAGTCCCAAGATAAAAATTGTACAGCAGTTTGGAGAGCAAACAGTTCCCATTGAAAAAGAATAATTTCATATAGCCCTTGAGAATTTGCAAGCACTTAAGAAGACCACAAAGATGGGTGATTCAAAGAGATGTATGTGGTGCTATGCAAGACATTGGAGGAGGGGGAGCCAAGAGCTCTAGGAAAAACAAAAGAGTACCTGGAAAGGAAATGTAATCCCAGTTGTGAGTTCAAGGATGTCAGGGCTGGCCAGGAAAAAGAGCAGTACTGCGCAGATCTTTACTGAGAGGTGTTTGGATAGGATGCATGAGGGGAGTCCTTCACAGCAGAACATCCCGAGGGAAATGGTACAGAGGCCTCACCAAGAAGGAGCAGAAGGCATCAGGACTGCCAGAAAAGTGGAATCAGAGAAGGGGGCTTATGTATCTAGGCAATGGCATTCAGCAGCAAGGGGGAGTCTCTGGGTCAGAGAGCTCTGAAAGGCAGTAGTGGTTTCGAGTCTTTTATAGCTACAAGATTTACCTTATCTGTGGCTAGTAGTTTTTACTGGGATATGCAAACAAGATAGACTTTAAATGGCTGAAAATATATTTAACCTTGATCAGTGTGCTCAGTGGTTAGAACATCAACCCATGCAACAGAGAGTCTGCAGCAGGTTCAATTCCATTAAAGGGCATGTACGTGAGTTGCAGGTTCTATTCCAAACCCTGGTCACGGTGTGTGCAGGAGGCAACTAATCAATGTCTGTCTGTCTCCTCCCTTCCACTCTCTCTAAAAACCAATGAAAAAATATCCTCAGGTGAGGATTAACAAAAAATATATTAGGATATATTAGGATATACATAAAATATATTAGGATATACATAAAACAAATGAACCTGTAAGAATTTAAGTTTGATGCTGAGGGCTTTGAGCTAACAGTCCTCACATGCTATGAAGAAGTAAACAATGTAAGAGTCAATACACAGGGCCATCTTAGCCCACGTTTACAACACCAGTAGATTGCTCAGATCTGTGACACTTCTGACACAGACCAATACTGTAAACACTATTTCTTTTCTTTTTAAAAAATATATTTTATTGACTTTTTACAGAGAGGAAGGGAGAGGGATAGAGAGTTGGGAACATCGGTGAGATGCCCGTGACTGGAATTGAACCTGGGACCCTTCACTCTGCAGGCTCACGCTCTACCCACTGAGCAAAACTGGTTAGGGCTAACCACTATTTCTTGATTTTCAGCTCTGGACAAAACCTGGAGAACTTAATTATAATTATGAAATCCAACTTATACACAAATATAATTTAAGTTTGGGTAATAGAAGTTGGGACACAGAAAGGGCATAGCTTAAAAGGAGACATAAAAATATTAATATCTCCCTCACACAATAAGGAGTAGTGAGTAAAAATACTGAATATGGAATAAGAAATAGCAAAAATAGTGAGACTGAGGCAGGACAGTAAGAAGCAAGGAAAATTCTTTGGCAAGTAGAACAGGGAAACTGAAACAGAGAGCTGAACAAACTGGCCGAGCAACTTACAGACAGATACAGGTCACCTCCCTACAGATAACAGTGAAGCCTCAGCTGTATTTCAGCTCCAGGCCCAGGAAAGCAGCAAACCCAGATGGGCTATGCCAGGACCAGCTGCAATGATTAATGGTCCCCTGCCCTGGAGGTGTCCAACCAGTGGAGACTACAACCCTGAAGGGCACACCTGGAAAAGGTGATTTATAATTTGTGGAAGTCTCCCCTAAGACCTCCCTTAAACTCCAGCCTTTAAAAATCCTCAAAACAAAGGACCCAACTTGTGCTCCCCATCCCGGAGCACACCCACGTCTTTCTCTTCTCCCTCTGCTGCGCCCACAGGCATGTATCTTCTCAATAATAAGATGCTCCAGAGACTTGCATCCAGAGGAGCAATGGGCAGCAGCAGCTCTTCCAGGGCTAAACCCCTGCACCTGTCTCCAAAGACTCATTTTCTCTGACTTACCAGGTAGCCCAGAGCAGTCCCACCTCAGTGCTCTTGTTGCTTCTTCTATCCTAAGCCCTTCCTTGTTCCACTGCCCCCAGCTTTAATAAATGTACTCTCAAAATCACCCACAGACCAACCCTAGTAGAACATAACTACATGTGAACATTTAGTATATCTAGAAATACATAATACTTATATTAAAACATGTACTTTGACATACCTTGAAACTAATGGAAAATGCGGCTAGAAGAGTTTTAAAAATTGCCCCTGGGTTTTGAAACTAAAGAGGTAAGACTATGACAGGAGACAGTTTCAATTAATTTATAACCTTTTCAGAACATGTGTATTAACTTCATATTAAAATACAAAACAACAATAAATATCTTTGACAGTGACTCTACTTACCAAAAAAATAAGCCAATTTTGGTCTCTCCTTCAAAAACAAGAACTCCTGTTGGGGTTAGTCCCAAACTATAGTCATTCCCGTCTCTAGCCTAATTTAAGGAATAGGAAATATGTTAACTTATTTGCATAAAACAGGCTTCACATTTTCAGACAACTGCTTAATTTCATTTTCACACTTAATTATTAATTGTACACAGGTAATATTAATATGCAAAGTATTTTCAACAATCAGTTTCCAGAACAACATTCTCAGGAAAATTAAAATGTGCATTTAGCCGGGACCAGTTTGGCTCAATGGATAGAGCGTCGGCTTGGGGACTGAAGGGTCCCGGGTTTGATTCCAGTCAAGGGCATGTACCTTGGTTGCGGGCATATCCCCAGAAGGGGGTGTGCAAGAGGCAGCTGATCGATGACTCTCTCTCATCGATGTTTCTCTCTCTCTCCCTTCCTTTCTGTATAAAATCAATAAAAAATATATATTTTTAAAAAATGTGCATTTAGTTCATTGAAACACTTGTTTTAAGGTATGTCTTCACTGAAAATAGTTACACTCTCACTACAACAAAAGCTCTTTCCAGATTTTCCTAATATTCTATTCACCACTTAAATTGGAAATTTTGGGGGAAAAAAAAACCCAAAACTTCCTTTCTGGGAAAATTTAGCTACTTAAATAAAAATCAGCTGATCAATGATTCTCTCATCGATGTTTCTAACTCTCTATCCCTCTCTTCCTCTCTGTAAAAAGTCAATAAAATATATTTTAAAAAATAAATAAACAAATAAAGTACCTAGTACTAGCTGATACAAACTCCACAGACTCTCTCACATTAAAAAAATTTCATAGTCACCCTGTATCTTAAAAGAATAATTTTTAAAATAAAAGTATCACAATATAGTGCTTACCTTGACCACATGCATATCAACACCATACATTTCTAGCCATTTGGCTTTATTCAGATAATTAGTTTCAGCTTGTGCTGGTGTCTGACCTCTGAAATTAAAAAATATTATTTCTTAAATAATAAAAATGTAAAATGAAGTCTATACCAAGTACAGAAATAGAAGAAAACAAATATAAAATCACGATCTTGGTGATGTTAAGAAAAGTGTAATTAAATATCAAGTACCTGTATTCCTTCCATTTCTCAAAAATAGCCAACTCCATCTCTTCAGTCTGAATGGGCATGAACCTGAACTCAGTTACAAGATCAGGACTATGCTCAGCAAGATCACAGTCACCAAGTTCAGCTACAAACATAAGTTTTACAGTTAGATTTTGTTAAAAGTTTATTTCCTGAGGAATCTTTAAAACCAATTTTATTAATAAACACCTATAGAATTAGAAAGATTCTTTCTTAAACTACCACAAATTCATAACACCCAAACCACTCTCAAAAATAAATGTAGCTTACACTTGTGATTTATCTGTCTATACACACAAATCACACACTTGTGGTTGGTGGTGTATTTCCAATTAAGTGCCTTTAATTTATTCAAACCTTATTAAAATGCTTAACCTTTAAGAACTTCTTTCTAATCTTCCAGAGGGAAATACATTTGACCTTATCTTACCTAATAATAGACAAATATATAAATTGACTGTACCTTCACTATGCCCAATCAGAATGATATGCAAATTAACCAACAAATAAGGCAATTAATTTGCATAAACAGGCAGGGCAGGCAGCACCATGGCCCGCTTCTGGGAGTACAGGTCCATCGAGGGTACAAGAGGCCCTGTGGGCAGCACCAGACACCACCCACAAGGTACCAGTCCATCGACCAGGGAGGTGGGCTGGGCAGCACCAGATGCCATGGGAGGGGTCCAGATTCACTGCAGGCCCCAGGAGGGGCAGCAGCCTGCCTAGCTGCTCCCATGGGGCCCTGGGAACATCACAGGCATGGTTGCTTAGATTTAGACAGGGCTTCTGGCCACAGATTCACAGCTTCAGGGAGACTGAGGCAGGGATCTGCTTCACTTGCAGAGAGAGTGGGCCCAGCCAGGGATCAAGAGGCATGGAAGAACTCCCAGGCAGAGGGGCAAGGACCCTCCCCTCTGGGGGTGGGGGTTTGAGAGGTGGTGCCACCTCAGTGGACGGGAGCCGCACTGCAGGGTACTGGACTGACTGATGTGATTCAGAGAAGCTCCCAGTGCTAACCGGCCTTGCTCAGGCAGCCTTCACACTTCAGAGGCAGTGATTCCTGCTCCTGCCTTGACCCAAAAGCAAGCCCGCGGTGCCCTGCCCCATGGCAGAGCATGCCTAGGCGGTGAGTGCGAAGCCTTTCACCTGCTCCAGAGAAGCAGGGGCAGTAAAGAATGGGGATAGGGGACCGGACCAGGGAGAGGAAAGAATATGGAGCATCGCAATGAAGAGGTGCTTGAGAAAGAGGCTCAGAAGCCTGACTGGAAGGTTTGTTCTGTTTGCCGGGCGGCTGCCCCTTAGGAAGGGCAGAGAGCATGGCTCTGAGGGCAAACTGTGTGCTGAGTCAAGTTCCACAGCCAACTGGAATTGGCCTCAGTTTCTTGGTCTGTACAATGGATGAAGCATGTCCCAGTGCCTTCATTGAGCTTTGAAGGCCAATTTAGATACTATATAAAGAAAATTAGGGAAGAAGTGAGAAAGAAAAGGAAGGATGGACAACACAAAAGAAAGACTGGAAGGAACTTGTAAACCCATTGTCACTTAAATAGGGAATATAGTCAATGTGTTGTAATAATGATATGATGCCAGGTGGGTATTGGAAATATCGGGGAACACTTTGTAAAATATATGATTGTCTAACCACTATTCTATAATGTAAAACCTGAAACCAATACAAAATAATAATGAATGTAAAAAAATGAAAATTGGAGTGAAATTTTTATAAATTTCAAAGTTTAAATAAAAGCTGTAAAGGAAGGAAGGGGAAAATAAAAAGTGTTTTTCATTTTACCACTTCATTATCTTTTCAGTACATGAAAAAGAGTTGTCTTTATATGGTGCTTTTATACTTTTCTAACTCATTACCTCATTTTAATTTCCGGGCAACTTAAAGACAAGATAATTGTTCCCTCCACTATTTAAAGAGAAAATGTTGGTGTCTGGTCCTAATGATTCAATTGTCAAGCCCTTGTTGTAAAGGAGGGTTAGTAAAATTTTCTGTGCAGGATCGTATCTATACTAATCAGGCCAGCAGAGAAGGGGAGTTAGGGGCAATCAGGCTGGCAGAGGAGCAGTTAGGTGTCAATCAGGCCAGCAAGGGAGCAGTTAGGGGGTAATCAGGCAGACAGGTGAGCAGTTAGGAGTCAGTGGTCCGAGACTGTGAAAGGGATGTCTACAGGGATCGGGCCTAAACCTCCTGAGGGGTCCCATATTGGAGAGGGTGCAGGCTGGGCTGAGGGAAACACTTCCCAGTGCATGAATTTCGTGCACCAGGCCTCTAGCAATGAATAACAAGAATATTTAGCAATCCTTAACACATAGCTGGCATCTGTTAAGAATCTTACATGAAAAGAATGTGACATAAGTTAATCCTAAAGAAATAAGAAAAAAAATGCTAAAAAGTATTTGGGGAATGAAGGCAGTAGGAAAAGAAGTGAATAATGCACAAACATTAATGTACTCAACTGTGCTGAGCTAATTTTCTATACTTAAAGATGTTTTCCTTTAATGTTTTACTCATTAAAAATGAAAATATTTCCATTTTTATTTAAAAGAAATCAAGCTGTAGAGAAAGACGATCTGTTGAGGAGAAACCAAGATAATGGCATAGGTAAAGACCTGAACTTGCTGCTTTGCACAACCACTTCAAAACTACAACTAAAAGACAAAACAGACATCATCCAGAACCACAGGAAGGCTGGCTAAATGGAAATTCTACAACTAGAAGGGAAGAAAAAAGCACACAGACTCAGAGGAGCTACAGAAGTACAGAGGTACAGAGGCGTGCACGCACAGAGAGGGTTGACAACTGCGTAAGCAGCTGGCTTTTTCAAGCTGGAGGGAGACACAAGCTCCCGACTGCTCTGAACTCCTGTTCCAGGCAAGACTCTGGGGACTCAGACTCATACAGAGAAAAACTGGACTGTCTGGCAGTGGGCAGAACTTGAGGTTGGCTTTCTCTCAGAGTGCTTACAGTGATTATCAAGGGTCACTGAGACCTGGGGGCTTCTTAGAGCAGGGATGATGGGAAGCCATTGCTGTTTGCTCCACCCTGAGACTCTGCCCCATCCAAGCTGTGCACAGAGGCTTTTGCATATGAATGGTCTATTCCTTTGAAATCTAAATTTACCTATCAAACTACAGCTGAGTCAGAAAGACCCAGAACATCCAAAAGAAGGCCCAAGGCCCCACAGCAGCTTGCAGTGCTTCACAGCTGGGCCTCATCTGGGCACCTCCAAAACCCAAACAAAGAAGAGGAATCTGCAGATCTCTCTGTAGCTCCTGCTGGGTGGCCTCAGGTAGAGGATAAATTTGAACCTCCTTGGAGATGCAAGAACCAGTGTACCCAGGGATCAGAGTAGGACCATGCAGATTACAACTCTTCAGATCCATAAGGGACATTCTCAGGAGGCAGACTCACTGAGCAGCAAAGCCCTACTGAAGCAAGTCTTGCCTCATAAGGGTGTCTCCAGCACAAAAGTTCTCACATCGTAGACACAGCTGATTGTCACAGCCAATTGGCCTAGAGGTCAATTCCTCCCAGTGATACCAACAACAGTTAAGGCTTAACTACAACACAACAAAGGGGTGCACCAAAAGTGTCCACCTCAAGTAACCGGGGAGGCTGAGCCACTGGATCCTACAGGGCATCTAACACAAAAAACCACTCAATCAACTCAGGGAAGCAGCCAAAATGTGGAAACAAAGAAAGAGGTCACAAATGAAAGAAATGGAGGAAAGCAAACTACTAGATATAGAGTTCAAACCATGATTATGTGTATTTTTTAAAGAATTTTCTAGAAAAGGCTGATAAATTTAGCCAATCCCTCGAGGATATGAAAAAGGACCAACTAGAAATTAAACATACACGGATTGAAATAAAAAATATTATACAGAGACCCAACGGCAAACTAGAGGATCTCAAGAATCAAGTCAAAGATTTGAAATACAAAAACGCAAAAAGCACCCAACTGGAAAAGCAAAAAGAATCCAAAAATATGAAGATGGTGTTAAGGAGCATCTGGGACAACTTCAAGCATACCAACATCAGAATTATGGGGGTCCCAGAGGAAGAGAGAGCGCAAGATATTTGAAGAAATAATGACAAAAACTTCCCCTACCTGGTAAAAGAAATAGACTTACAAGTCCAGGAAGCACAGAGAACCCCAAACAAAAGGAATCCAAAGAGGACCACATCAAGACACATCATAATTAAAATGCAAAGGGCAAAAGACAAAGAAAGGATATTAAAAGCAGCAAAGAGAAAAAAAATTGCCTACAAGGGAGCACCCATACGATTGTCAGCTAATTTCTCAACAGAAACTATGTAGGCCAGAAGGGAGTGGCAAGAAATATTCAAAGTGATGAACAGCAAGAACCTATAACCAAGATTACTCTACCCAGCAAAGCTATCATTCAGAATTGAAGGTCAGATAAAGAGCTTCACAGATAAGAAAAAGCTAAAGCAGTTAATCACCACCAAACCAGTATTATATAAAATGCTGAAAGGTATTCTGTAAGTAGAGGAAAAAGAAGAAAAAGTAAAGATAAATATTATGAACAACAAATACATATCTATCATCAAGTGAATTTAAAAATCAAGTGAATAAAAAAATCTGATGAACAGAATAATCTGGTAAATATAATAGATTCAGGGGCATGGAAAGGGAGTGGACTGACAATCCTCAGGGGGAAAGGGGTGTGGGAAGAGATTGGACAAAAATCATACAACTATGGATGAGGACAGTGGGGGTGAGGAGGAAGGATATGGGGTGGGGAGAGAACCAGGTGGAGGGAAGCTATGGAGGGGGAAGGGAAGAGGAACAACTGTAATAACCTGAACAATAAAGATTAAAATAGATAAACTGTGGAGAGAACTACATTGAAATAATCATACAAATGATAACAACATTATTGAGCTCCCAACTCTACACACGTATTACAAATACTAGAGGCCAGGTGCATGAATTCATGCACCAGTTAGGTGTCTTGGCTTGGCCTGTGGGATCGGGCTGAAACTGGCTCTCCAACATCCCCCAAGAGGTCTTGGATTGTGAGAGGGCATAGGCCAGGCTGAGGGATCCCACAAGTGCACAATAGGGGTCAGGGTGGGATGTGGGAAGTTGGCCAGCCAGGGAGGGACCACAGGAGGGCTCAAAGGCAAGCACAGCCTGCCTCGATCAGTCCTGATCAGCCGGACCCCATCAGCAAACTAACCTACCATTTGGAGTGTCTCCCCCCCGGTCATGGTCATTGCACGTCATAGTGAACAGTTGAGTGGCCTTAGTTTATCAGTAGCATATTACGCTCTGATTGGTTGAACGAATGACCAGAAAACCAGACAATTAGCCTATTAGGCTTTTATTATATAGGATATTGTCATTTAACTTTCTTGAAGATTGTTACCACACCATTTTATTGCTGAAGAAATTGCTCTTTTGTCAGGACTACAGTGACTTCAAGGAGCTCTATACCAAAATGCTATATAAAGTTGTTCAGAATGTTTACTAAAATGGTTCAGAAAAGTGAACTTGAGAGTAGGAGTAAAAACTAATGATAGCTACCCTAATAAAATATAAAGTCATAAACGAAATAAGAAGCTCTTTTTATGAAGATGTAAGTAATACTTCAGCAAATTTATTTTTAAGGACCTTAAAAATTATTAAGATTTGATAAACTATTAGACAGGGGACAAAGAGAGATGCATAGGACAAAACAAAATTTTAAGGAATTCAGACTAATGGATGAAAAGATCAAGAAAAAAATTATTTAGGAAAAAAATATAAGAAGGACTAAGAGATAATGTATCAGTCACATGTTCCAATCAAACATTAAGTATTCAGTGAGCACTACTCTGATTACTGTTTTAAATACACAAAAATGTATAAAAACCATATTTTCAAGAAGCATATACTTTGCTTGTCATGAAAATTACACAATATGACAAAGACAGACTAGCTGATGCAATATCCTATCCTACATAATAAAAGAGTAATATGCAAATTAACCATCAATGTTCTACAACCACAAGCCACGCCAATCAGCCAATCAAAGTGAGTATGCAAAATAACCCCAACCAAGATGGCTGCGGCCACAGAGAGCAGGTGGGAGGCTTGGGTTTCCCTGGCAATGGAGGAAGCCAAGCTTTCCATACACCTTGGTGGGCCCAGGCCTCCACTAAAGGGTACAAAGTTTCAATTATAAAAGGGAAATAAATCCCAACAGAAATGGCGACAGCCACTGAGCTGGAAGAGCAGGAGGCTAGGGTTGCCCTTGACAATGGAGAAAGCCAAGCTTCTGCAGCCCTGGCCAGCTCAGGCCTTCACTCCAGGCATCAAAGTTTCAATTATAGAAGATACATAAATTCCAACAGAAATGGCTGCCACTACAAAGCAAGCAAGATGCTTGGCTCCACTCCAGGCTACAAAATTTCAATTGTAAAAGATAAATAAATTCAAGATACCAGGGCGGGTTGCCAGAGGGCGTGGCCCGCCTGCCAACCACCACAGTCCCCTCGCCCAGACCGCCCCACATCCCAAGGGAACTCCTACCCTGATCCAGGACACCCTTCAGGGCAAACCAGCTGACCCCTACTCATGCACCAGGCCTCCATCCTATCTAATAAAAGAGTAATATGCAGATTGACCATGCTATCTTCTGGTCAAAGATTCTGCCTCTATGTGGACACAAAATGGCCACTACAAGGTGGTCAGCAGGGGAGGGCAGTTGGGAGGGACCAGGCCTGCAAAGAGGGCAGTTGGAGGTGATCAACCCTGCAGGGGAGGGAAGTTAGGGGTGTCCAGGCTGGCAGAGGAAGAAAGTTAGGGGCAAACAGGCTGGCAGGGGAGCAGTTAGGCATCAATCAAGATGGCATGGGAATGGTTAGGGGGTGATCAGGCTGGCAGGCAGAAGTGGTTAGGGGCAATCAGGAAGGCAGGCAGGCAAGCAATACTGGATTGTCAGAGGGATATCCAACTGCCCGTTTAGGTCCGATCCCACTGGGATAGAGCCTAAATGGCAATGGAACATCCCTCAAGGGGTCACAGATTGGAGAGGCTGCAGGCTGCGCTGGAGGACACCCCCCCTCCAGGCATGAGTTTCGTGCACTGAGCCTCTAGTCTACTTAAAATAGTAACATGCTAATTTACCATATCTTCGAGACGCCCACCCGCCAATTAGGACTATGCAAATTAACCCAATCAAGATGGAGAGTTAATTTGCATACACAGGCTAGAGGTGAAGTGGGTGATGACGCAGGGGTTCTGCACCATCCCAGCTGCTCTGGGCCTCTGGGCAGCATGGGAAGGTGGAAAGGCAGTTCCGGGCCAGAGGGAAAAGGCGGCGCCAGGCAGGAGCAAAGGCACTGCTGGCAGCCAAGGAAAGGAAGGCCCATTCTTGCACCAATCTTCGTGCATTGGGCTTCTATAATAGTATTTTAATAAAAGGGTAATATGCAAATTGACCTTTAGGGGCCACTGGAAACCACCAGTTGCTATGGCGAGCCCTGACCACCAGAAGGAAGACACTCAATGTAGGAGCAGCCACCTAGTGGTTGGTGCGCTCCCACAGGGGGAGCTCCACTCAGCCACAAGCAGGGCTGATTGATGTGACTGCAGTGGCAGTGGCAACAGCCTCTCCTGCCTCCTTGGCAGCATCCAACTGCAGCTTAGACTTGCTCAGCAGGTGGACATCCCCCAAAGGGTCCTGGACTGTGAAAGGGAGCAGATAGGGCTGAGGACCCCCACGCCCACCCAGTGCATGAATTTTCGTGCATTGGGCCTATAGTATGGTATAGCAAATATTGAAAATGACAGTTCTTCAATAGATCAAAAAGTTTTAGAATTAACTTCATATAGGAATTATAAAATGTAAAATATGTGCTTTCAAGAAAGATGCATGCAGTTACATACTTCTGATTGTTACAATGCTAGAAGCATAGCATTTCCAAACTAGTATCAAGTTAATATTCTGCAGACGAGAAAAGTTTTAATTTGTAGACAGACTAGGATAGTAGATGGAGATGTGTAAATAACAATTTATACTAATAGCAAATTTTTGAAGTACAGAAATTTCATCCATTCACAATCCTTCTATTGATAGGAAAATATGCTTTCTTAAATATTGGAAGCGCAAAATAAGCAAAATATTAGGTTTATCATGAAAACATTAAAATTTTAGTATCATCTTTACAATAGCAAATAAATGCTACTGATCTTAGAGGGATTGGAGATACATTTAGAATCAGGCCCCCTCCCCCCCCCCCCCCAGCAAAAAAAAACGTAAAATTATAATCAGGATCTTTCTTTCCATTTTGTAAACAAAGACTATAATGTTTTACAAGAATTTCAATTTTTTAATAGAAAATACCTAAATTGAACACTATATGATTAATGTAACAAGGTACAATATGAGTTTTTAATTATTCTCATTTACTGAAAAAACACTCTTTATCCTTAAAAAACCCTTAGAAACTTTTAAATACATGCTAAGTATTTCTTCCATGTATCTGTTTTTAAGAATACTACTAAAAGCAAACCATGTAGCTGCGGCAACTTTCTAATATATAACTATATTCTTTTTAAGGAAAAAAAATAGCTGATGGCCAATTATAGCATTTATGAAATTATCAAGTAGACTGCAATAATAATTTGAAAACATTATAGACAGAAAAAGACAAACGAAGTGAAAGGGACAAGAAAGAGGGCAATGTTCTAAAACTAGTGAAAATAAAGTCAAGAGTTGGATATTAATACAAATTTAAACAAAACCAATGCTGCTTCTCCCTTATCACTTTGAATCTTCTGAAATTCTTTCCCTAAACACATACTGAAAATAGTTATGCTTTATCCCCAGTAATCAACATGAGAACTGCTTACCTTGCAGGTTATAAGCTGCCAACTGAACTGCTGTATCAAAAGGACACTCCAATCTGAGACCAAACACAATCAGTTAAACAATTTCACAAGACAAATGGAAATACACTTTATGGCGACCATTTCTTTTTCATAATTAGCTATAAAATTATTTCTCAAAAACATTTTTAAACTACTCAAGAAAATATGGTTTACCTTAAGCAACTAATACTCACTTTCCACTGAGAATATCTTGTCTTAATTGAAGAACAAATAAATACCTAAGAAAAACAAAAGGTCCAAACTTAACTGAAGAGAACAATTTTACCCTTCTAATTTGGAAAGAAACATTCTTAATTATACAACTTTACTCAAAATAAAGTCTATATAAGAAAAAAGGGATAATAAGAATCAGGAGGATGGTAGCATATCTGTAAGATAACAGCAAGAAACAGCCTAGCCAGTGTGGCTCAGTGGTTGAGCGCCAATCTGTGAACCAGGAGGTCACAGTTCAATTCCCAGTCAGAGCACATGCCTGGGTTGTGGGCTCAGTCCCCGGTTGGGGGGGGGGAAAGGATGTTGCAGGAGGTAGCCATCTGATTCTCTCTCATTGATTTTTCTATCTCTCTCTCCCTACTCCCTTCCTCTCTGAAATTAAAGGGAAAAAAAATTAAAAGAAGAAATAGCAGGCACAGAAAACATACAGTAGGAGAGAAAAGGTTTAAGGCAAATTACTGAGAATGAGCTCTGTGACTAATTTAACTGTACTCTGACAATGCAGCCCCCTCATATATGAAAGGATACTAGCATGTATATAACTGTGGGTAATAGCTATAATCTCATTGGCAGAGTAGTCAAGAGCAAAGCCCTTCTGAAGGGATTCAACTAACTCAATCTTTTACTTAATAAATAGTAAATGGGCCTCCTGGTGCTTCCACAGGCTGTGTTCTTATACTGACTGTACAGAAATAGGAGGCAGAATAAACCTACCCCATAGAGACCTCAGCTCTTTGCTCTGTATTGTGAACGGGGAGACACTGAGTCAAGGAGGTTTGGGATCTGACTTGTTTTCACTTCCTCTGGGAAAAGAGTAGATGGTGGCTATGGCTTTATTTATGACATGTCAGCTAAGCCAGGGAGTGATAAAACAAAAAATAAAAATAAATAGTAAGTGGAATGAGTCATGGATTTGCAGTATCATCCATTAAGAAATACCAGGAGGGCAAGAAAAAGTAAAAATAGGTATACATAACCTACTTAAAGTTTATTCAAAATTATTTAAAACAAATCAAAATCTAACATTTTTTATTAATCAATGGTATTTCAATAGGTAAAGCAAATCAGGAGCCTACTTGAAGATAGATCATTGTGAACATTAATGTACATGGCAATGTATTTAAACACATCTGCTCTGTTTACAATCCATAAGTTTATAATGACACTTAAAAAAAGAACTCACTAGTTACCTTTAGAGGATACTAGGGAACTAACTCTTTATTTTGAAAACTGATAAAAAAAAGGAAAATAATCATACACTTAAAAAGCGCTATCCCAAAATGACATTCTGTTGTCTGAGATCTGTTACAAGGGGCAAGAAATATATTTCATTTGCTGTCTATAAACTGGAAAGCATTATGGACAATCTTACAACATTTTAGCTAGCCTGACCAAACTTTACCCATGTTCAACTATGTCTTACCGGGTTAGCTCTTCACGAAGATTATTTGGTTCCGAGGAATAAAATTTAACTCGAAAATGCAGACAATAGGGTGAACCAACTGCCATTAAAAAAAAAAAAAAGAGCTTTAATTTTTTATAACTATTTAAATAATAAGAATTTACAGTCAGCAAATCTGTCACAAATCCACTGAACTTGAGACAAAAGATAACAGGTTATTACTATATTTCAGTTTATAGCGTAGGTTTGATTAAACTTAATATAAAAAGAGCAATCATTTTTTAAACTATACCAATCACATAATAATCTGCCCTAAGACTAGCTAGCTCTAAATTAATTCTAACAGTTCAGGGCCAATATCTATATATTATAGGCCCAGTTAACGAAATTTGTGCACAGGGGTGGAGTGGGGGTCCCCTCAGCCCAGCCTGTACTCTCTCCAACCCAGGACATCCCTCTCACAATCCTGGACCACTGGCTCCTAACCACTCCTCACATGCCTGCCTGCCTACTTGCACCTAAATGCCTCCCCGCCAGCCTGATTACCCCTCATTGCCCCCCCGTCAGCCTAGTTGCCCCTAACTACCCTCCACTGCCTACCAGATCGCCTCCAAATGCCCTCTCCCTGCTGGCCTGGTCTCCCTCAACTGCCCCCCCTGCTGGCCTGGTTGCCCCCAACTGTCCCCCCTGCCAGCATGGTCACCCCACACAATCTGCTTATTCAGTCATCCCTCACTAACCCCCGTGCAGGCCTGGTCATTGTCAGCCATCTTGTGAGGACATGAGGATAAATTTGCTATTACCTCTTTTATATATGGGGGGATATAAAAACCTAGGTGGCTGTTATAACCAGTCGACCAAACGACCAGTTGACCAGTCGCTATGATGCACACTGACCACCAGGGAACAGGCGCTCAACACAGGAGCTGCCCCTTGGTGGTAAGTGCACTCTCACAGCCAACCTCCCATGGCCAGCCAACCTCCTGTGGTCCCTCCTGAGGGCCAGCCAACCTCCCGTAGTCCCTCCTCCCTCCTGCCCGGCCTGCCAGCCAATCTCCCACAAGAGGAAACAACTATGCGAGATGTCCCTGATCATCCCAATTGCCAGCCAGGCTGAGGGACCCCACCCATGCACGAATTCATGCACCAGGCCGCTATTACCAAATAAAAAAAGTTCTGACTGAGCCCTGACCAGTATTCCTCAGGTTCAATTCCCAGTCAAAGGCATGTACTTGGATTGCAGGTTGGATTCTGGAACCCAACTGGGACAAGTGCGGGAGGCAACCAATCAATGTGTCTCTCAGATCGATGCTTCCCTTCTCTCTCTCTTTCTCTCTCTCTCCCTTCCTCCTCTCAATTCCTCCTCCTTCTCTTGCTCTTTCTCTCCCCTCTTCCACTCTCTCTAAAAATCAATAGAAAAAAAATCCTCACATGAGGATTAACAACAAAAGTTCTGTGCAATCTAACAGTCCTGACAATCTGCAGAGCTGTATTTCTTAAAAGCACAGGGGAACACCTATGTTATTAATTGTTCGTGGCAAATACTCCCACACACTTTCCAATTCTCTACCTACTTCATTAACATCTATATTTTCAGTGGTTCCATTATTATGTAAAGAGGAGAGTTGAAACGCCCTGAAATCTGTTACTACACAGGATAGGGTATACTAAGGATTGAACTCTGGTATTTTCTTGACTATTGATAGGAATAGCACAGGCATTTTATGTGAAATGCTTCTTTTCACTGTTTTTAATTTTTTAAAAAGTAAGCCTTGTCTAACTGGCGTGGCTCAGTGGTTGAGATTTGACCTATGAACCAGACCAGGAGATCACGCTTCGATTGCCAGTCAGGGCACATGCCCAGATTGCAGGCTCAATACCCAGAAGGGAACGTGCAGGAGGCACCAATCAATGACTCTCTCTCATCATTGATGTTCCTATTTCTTCCTGTCCCTTCCCTCTGAAATCAATAAAAATAAAGTATTTTTTTTTAAAAAAGGCACAAACTTTAAGCCTCAAAATATTTTTCAGAAAAAGCTGGACAAATGCCAAACAAGAAAATTCCAACATAAAATAATCTATCTATACCAGTGGTCAGCAAACTCATTAGTCAACAGAGCCAAATATCAACAGTACAACAATTGAAATTTCTTTTGAGAGCCAAATTTTTGAAACTTAAACTTCTTCTAATGTCACTTCTTCAAAAGAGACTCACCCAGGCCATGGTATTTTGTGGAAGAGCCATGCTCAAGGAGCAAATGAGTTGCATGTGGCTCACGAGCCGCAGTTTGCTGACCACTGGTCTGGTCTATACTAATAAAAGGGTAATATGCTAATTAGACCAGACATCCTTCCGGAAAAAGCCATGGTGGTGAGGTCAAGGCAGAGGCAGTTAGGGGTGATCAGGCCGGCAGGGGAGAGCAGTTAGGAGGATCAGGCCAGTAGGCAAGCGAGTGGTTAGGAGCTAGAAGACCCACAGGGATGGGACCTAAACCGGCAGTCCGACATCCCTCAAGGGGTTCCGGATTAGAAAGTGTGCAGGCCGGGCTGAGGGACACCTCCTTCCCGTGCACGAATTTCATGCATCAGCCACTAGTCTATATATATATAAAAGGCTAAGTTACCATCACATCCGAAACAACTGAACGGATGAACGAACAGGCTATGTGGGGCAACCAGGCTGGCAGGGGGGTTAGTGAGGAATGACCAAACAACTGAGCAGCAGGCTGCATGGGGCGACCAGGCTGGCAGGGGGGCAGTTGGGGCTGACCAGACTGGCAGGGGGAGGAGCAGTTGGGGGTGACCACGTCAGCAGGGGGTGCATCAAGGGGCGACAAGGCCAGCAGGGGGGCACTAAGGGGCAACCAAGCCGGTGGGTTGGGGCAGTTGGTAACTACGCCGGCAGGGGGGGGGGGGGGTTGTTGGGGGTGATCAGGCGAGCAGTTAGGAGCCAGTGGTCCTGAATTGTGAGAGGGATGTTAGACTGCAGGTTTAGGCCTGATCCGCGGGACAGGGCCTAAACCAGCATTCGAACATCCCCCAAAGGGTCTCAGATTGGAGAGGGTACAGGCCGGGCTGAGGGGGACCGCCTCTTTCCCCCCCCACCCCCCCATTCATGAATTTCATGAACTGAGCCTCTAGTTGCTATATAAAGGTTAAGCATCTCATGGGAACTTAATCTCATTTGCAAGCTGCAAGGCTTTCTCCTGTAAACAACTGTAAGGCACTTCAATCTAATTACCATCAACCCTATATAATTTAGGATTAGTATACCAGATTGAAATTATTTTTAGAAAGTAGTGATGCTAAGAAATTAATCTAAAACATGATTTTAAGTCCTTACTATTAAAAATAATTAATATGTAATTATTATATATAATTCAATTTCTATTGTTTTCACAATTTTTTCAACACTTACTTTTAACTTGCTTTTTGATACTCTTTGTAACATCCAGCCAATGCTGAAAACAAAACAAAAATTCAGTCATTAAACAGATTACTAAAAGTTAATTTTCATCATGCTTTTGTTGGTAACCACAAGGAAATATTTCACAAGAGAAAAAAGAGTGAAAATGAGAGGGAGGGTTATTTACCCAAAATCCATAGTAAGCTTATGAATAGAAATGAGCAAAAAATACCTAAAACCAAATATATGACTTTTTAAAAATTACCTTTATTCTCAGTAACAAGGATAGTCTAAAGTTTGCCCTTGGTTCAAAAAAAAAAAAAAAAAAAAAAAAAAAGACTCACCACTATTAAACATTGACAGAAGTATCTTCATGTTCCATATTCTTATAATAAAAATCAGATTTATTAACAGATCATGACTCCAAATTAGGTGAAATAACAATGCCATGTCCATTATACAAAGTAGCCAGTTTTGCTCACTGGTTAGAGTGTTGGAGGGCAGACTGGAGGGTATGGGTTTAATTACCGGTCAAGGGCAAATACCTCAGCTACTGGCTGGGGTCAAGGCACATGGGGGAGGCTGTCAATCAATGTGTCTCTCTCATATACTGGTAGATGTTTCTTTCTCTCTCCCTCTCCTTCCTCCCTTCCATTCTCTCTAAAAATCAGTAGGAAAATATCCTTGGGTAAAGGTTAAAACAAATACACGAAAGACACTACTGCACAATAAAATTAGATTTGTCTCATTATCAAGACCATATCTATTAAGGGAAGCAGCCTTTGCCCCTTTATTTAACAAATAAAACATGTTAATATAGTAACTACCATATTTCTGGTTTCATTTGATACCTGTAACCTCTTCACTCTCAGATGTCCATAATATAAACAGTCTAAGAACCAATTCCAAAGACTTCCACTGTAAACCATTCCCAGCTTACTTCTCTTCATTAATCCTTTTACAGCACCAATCCTAACAGTGACAGCAGGCACTCATCCAACTAAGATATACATAATAGTGTTCTTTCCAGAGTGCTTACAATTCCAAGAATCCTAAAAGAAAAGAGTGGCTCTTGTGCTAACTAGTTCACAGAGCAAAGGAATCCAGTTTCAGAAATCCAGATAGACAAAGAGTGGGTACACAAGGCTGCATTGTAAACAGACTTGTAACAATTTGATTTTCTTGCCAATTATTTGCCCTAACCTCTTCTCATTCTTTCCCAAGACCCAAAAGTAAAATTCACAGAACTACTAGAATGCCAGCAAAGTACCTCTGCACACTGAAGTAAGATGGTCAGTAAACATTTCAAAGGCAATTAAATACTGTGCAATATTTCTCTGGGTTCCAAGTATGTAGGTACTTAGTTAGCTGTCTCTCATTTCTTAAAAACTCAGTTGGACTCCACATTTAAACATATCTCAATCTAACAAATGTTCAGTTTACACAGACCTCTATCAATAAAATGCTAGGCCAACTAGTAGGCATAAAATAATTCGATTATAAGCAGAAAAGGTTTCAATGTAGGACATCAAAAATTCCATCCATCATGGCCAAGTCAAATAATCCAATATCCAAAATTCCCAGATTTAACTGTGCGAAATATCTACTACAGCCTGATGTCAACCACATATTGCGTGTGAAATAAAATTAGTTTCCATGCCCAATTGTTTTCTCTCCATAACCATGAACCTAGGAGTTGCCCTATCTTCAGGTTTTAACTATTATACTGCAACAAACAATTTTATGGCTAATCACTTGGGCAGCCTCTCGTAGCCTTAGTTTTAGGGAGACTCATACACCATGAGTGCGAAATAGCACAATCATTCCAGGAGGTAATCTGACAATAGCTTTAAAAAAATCATTATGAATGTGTTCTGATTTACCTACAAGGAATGACATCAGAGAAAGTTAAGACAATTTATATTTCCAACCATACTAAACTGCCTACAATATGATAAAACACCAGGCAACAATTAAAATGAATGAAAGCAAATACTTAAGATTTTAGAAAATTACTTACAATATATTGTTAAATTTTAAAAGCAAGTTATTATAAACTAGTGGCCCGTTGCATGAAATTTGTGCACAGGGGGATTGTCCCTCAGCCCGGCCTACACCCTCTCCAATTTGAGATCCCTCGGGACAGTTGGACATCCCTCTCGTAATTCAGGACCACTGGCTCCTAACCACTCACCTGCCTACCTGCCTGATCACACCTAACCACTCTGCCTGTCAGCCTGATTACCCCTAACTACCCCACCACTGCTAGCCTGATTGGCCCCAACTGCCCCTCCCTTGCCAGCCAGCTCACCCCCAATTGTCCCCCCCTAGGGCCTGCTCGCCTCCAACTGCCTCCCCTGCCAGCCTGTTTGCCCCCAACTGTCTCCCACTGGCCAGATCGCCCCTAACCTGCCTCTGCCGCCTTGGCCCCGCCACCATGGCTTTGTCTGGAAGGATGTTCGGAAGATCTCCAGGTCTAATTAGCATATCACCCTTTTATTAGTATAGATTATTTTTGTCAAAGGTAATTTATATAGAGTCATGCGCTTTTAGACTGAGGCAATCTATAACAAAACAGTAACAGAGTTGTTATTTAGGTGGTTGAGATTACTGGTGATACTTTTTTTCTCTGTTATTTCCTAAATTTTCAACTTAACCAAGAGTACATATTACTTGAAACAATAATCATGGACCCCCTTACTTTATTTGTTAGTTTGTTTTAATATATTTTATTGATTTTTTACAGAGAGGAAGAGAGAGGGATAGAGAGTTAGAAACATCGATGAGAGAGAGTCATTGATCAGCTGCCTCTTGCACACCCCCTACTGAGGATATGCCCGCAACCAAGGTACATGACCTTGACCGGAATTGAACCCGGGACCTTTCAGTCCTCAGGCTGACGTTCTATCCACTGAGCCAACTGGTTTCGGTGAACCCCCTTACTTTAATATTATATATATATAACTAATATACTCATATAGGTTCATTTTTTGGTAATATTAAAAGGTACATGGTCAACAGTCCCTCCAACATCTGCAACAGGCCAAGGCCGGCTCCCCCCACCATATCCCCAATTTCTATCTTTACACTCACAAACATAACCCCCAAGGTGTTATTGGTTTCTGATTCTTTCCAGAATCTCTTCAAACAGGGAAGAAAAAAACAACTGTGTGTTTATGAAGGTAAAGAGTAAAGAATATGCCAGCAGACAGCAGTTGTGTGTTGCTGAAGGATGCCCAGGACCAAACCAGAGACGGTCGGACCTGCATCACCACCGTTTGTCCACCAACCAGATCTGAAATAGCATGGCTGACATGTACACATAAGGACCTATTTGACATTGAAATTGGGACTCAAAAGAACTGTTGGTCCAGAAAGGAACTCACTACAGACTGATTCATTTGCCTCTCAGCATAACCATCATGGCTTTTCTCAGTTTAGGTTCTTACAAGGGTATTTCTTAGATCACATGATCTCACACATCTAGAGGAAATGATGAACAACATAGACTGATGAACAAAAACAGACCCAGAGAAAGAGAAGCAGTGATCAGACTCTCAAACCTCAGAGGGAAAGTAGGGGAGGGTGGGGGTAAAAGGAAGAGATCAACCAAAGGACTTGCGTGCATGCATATAGGCCTGGCCAGTGGCCATGGACAAATAGGGGAGGGGGAGCGCGAGGAGGAGGGGGAGAGGAGAGGAAGGTGTGGGGGCATATGTAGGGAGGGGTTTGTGATGGGATTGGGGGGATGAGGACAATTATGTGATACCATAATCAATTTTTTTTAAAAAGGAAAAAAAAAATAAATAAAAATAAATAAATAAAAAGTTAAAAAAAAAAAGAGTAAAGAATATTAACAGCAGACTAAAAATCAACACGCTAAATATAAATTTTGACAAAATAAACTTTAAGGAATATAAAAAATATTAATATAAGACAGACCACTTACTATTTCAAGAACCTAAAATCTTAGACAATTGTAACTTAAATTTTATCCAGTTTAAGAAATTTAGGGCTAGTCTCGTAGATACTCCGTAAATCTCTAGTTTATTTCCTATTCTAAGCAGCACAGGAAACATAAAATCATCCCAGTGAAATAAAGGATCAGAGTTTTTCCCAAGTAGGCATTTTAATCTCTTTTCTACCTGCATGTAATAGCTTTCTAATAACTGGCACATCCTTAAGACAATCCAAATTTCAGAAAAAGCACCAAACAATTTTAAAGTGAAATTTAGGAGCTGGGGGAGTTTGGGGAAGTTCTGAGCTCATGTTTGTATATTCTCAAGTCTGTTTTCTTTCATCTCCTCCACATTCCAAGCTCGGGGACTGGAAAATGCAGAGCTCAGAGACAGGCACTGATATGACAGTTTTCCTTGATTTAGGATCTTTAGGAGCTGAGTTTAAATTACATTCGAAGATAAAGGTGAGAGCATGCAGATACACAGTCCTCCATGTTTGGTGTGAAACAAATACGGCTCTCTTTCCTCATGGTACTTTAAAAGGGAAACAAACTTTCCTCATGGTACTTTAAAAACTTCCTTCTAATTTCCTACTTTTAAAAGTTTGGTTGATAAACTCTTATGCCAAAGGATATGAAAAGTTAAATTTCTTTTGATGCTATTAAACTGGGCATAAAAGAACAATTATTTACTTGTATGTCTTGAAATATAAATAACATAAAATCACAAACAGACATAATTAAACCAAATAAAGAACCTCCTAGGGAGCATCCAAAACACTAACATACACATATCTTCATTCCAGGCACTACTATTGCCAAATAATCTGTAAACAGCTTTCAAATGACTATCTGATTTCTAACTGCCTACATTACTTTGCTAAAGAAAAGCACCATATTTTGCTCAAAAAGCCAAGACTACAAAGCAGAAAAATATAATTCATCTTTTAAAATAATTTCCTCTGCAAAAAATTATTTCTCCTATGAGAAGTAGAAGCTTATGTTCTGAATTAAAGGATTTGTTTAAAGCAAATTTAAACATTTTAAACAGTTTAAAAAATGTTTTTAAAAATCTATGCTATGAAAACAGAGGACCAATACATTGCACTGCTGCAACTAACTGAATACACTTCAATTTAGTGTAGATTCCATTATAAATACTTTGAGTAATTACTTACTTGGCATTAACAATTTGTGATACACACACACACACACACACACACACATTTGGCATTAACAATTTGTGATATACACACACACACACACACACACAAATAAATATTTAATATATTCATATTTATTTCTAAATATTTTTCACTTCCCACTACTTAACTGAATCCTATTTGTGTTAAGTTCTCAGGTACAACCTAATCCAATCATCTCCCAACAGTGATCACTTTATCTCCTCCTTTCTACAGTAATAACCTTTATAACGTCAGGAACTGCATTTGCTTACTACTATTATGAAATTACACAGCAGTGATAATAATGAGCACCTTTGGATCATTTTTGTATTTAGTATAAATACTTCTATTGTTTCTCTATTAATCTACAATTACTATGATTTTTAAAAGATAATTTAAAATTAGTATAGACAGAGAGCAGAACCCTGAGCAACCACCAGGTCTACTCTCCATAAGTGCAGCCTGTTGGCCCTGCACCCACCACCACCTGTTAGCACACATTCCAAAGGTTGGCTAACCCTACACAGATAGAAATGTCAATTCCATAGAGGCCAAAGTCCATTAGGTTTATCCAGGGTGTTATGAAGTAAGGAAAAAAGGGCTTAACAGGCCACCAAAAAAACACATAATCAGAATTCTAGAGTATTATGCTACTACTCAACCTCAGATGTGTGAGGTCAGCAAGCCAAACTTACAGTTCACCACATCATGTGTACAGTACCTAAAATAGCTGAATTCTAAAACTGTGACAAGAATTGCCTTTTAACTTAGCTCAATGATCTTGGATTTGCTACTGTTGTAGCCTCCAGGTGTGCACTTACAAAACATTTACCCAATGTTCCACTAGACACTTGTTTTCTAGCTCTAACATCTTCATTTCTATTTGTGTTGAATTTTGTCTTTAGCCTAAATGCCATAAACTTCAACTAATCAAGTTACTCATCTTACTTTCTAAAGATTTTAGTTTCAATCTTGTTTAATGTAGTTTCACTTAAGTATACAAAAAAGCAGTAACAGCATAAATTAGTTAACCTTTCAGAATTGGCATACATCACCTCACCTCATCTCACATTCCATGGCCAAAAGCAAGTCACATGGCCAAACCTGATATCAACTGAATAAAAAAGTATAATCCCCTTATAAGCAAAGGCAAGAAATAACCCCATGAAATACCTACAATATATAATAAATTTTATTATTTTTAATAAAACTGATACTAAATCATCTTTGAATTTCCGAGAATAAACCCTACCCAATTATAATTTATTATTTACACTTTTAATAGGCTGCTGACATTTTATTTAGAAGATTTACATAGAAAACAAGGTAAATTTAAAATACACATATAAAACAAACCAATACAAGTTATCAAGTCAATTTGAGGAAAAAGGCAAAATATAACACTGACATGTTAAGTTTTTTTTATTCCATATTTTCCAAATATTAGAATAAATACTACCTATGTTTTCCTTTTTTAAAGCCTAAATGTGTACATTCTAACTCATTCTTCTTTAAAAACCTGATTGGACCAGTTAGAATTCTAATCTCTAAATATGAAGTTTTAAAAACTTCAAGCAGAGGGTTGAATCTTGGATTAGAGCCATGTTTTATTTGTCCTACACTACAATTTTCTTATTTTTTAAAAAATAATTTTATTATAAAATATTCACAGAAAGTTGCAGTAATAAAAGGTCCTTTGTACTCTTTTTCCACCTTCCCCCAATGATTACATCTTACATAACTACAGTACAGTATTAAAATAAAGAAACTCACATTAGTACAATGTATATATAGTAAGTCCCCACTTAATGATGTTATTGTCAACAGGTTCTTGGAAACTGCGACCTTAAGCAAAATGGCATATAACAAAACAAATTTTACCATAGGCCTGATTGATATAAGAATTAAGTTCACACGCCATATTTCTAGTCATAAAAAGAACACTAAACTTCTAAATAAAGACCCAAAACACTTCTAATATTAATCAGTGAAGTAAATGTGAGCTATACATTTAAGAAAGATAAATAAAAACACATAAAATAATTACTTTTCAACATGCTTATTCCTGTTCAATGTCACAGATGGCCAGAGCCAGTTCTGGCTGCTCACAGTGGGAACCTGCCTGGACATAAATGCTCACACACACCCACACTCACTCAGATTGGGATAATGTAAATACACCAATTCACCCCATCTTTGGGCTGTGGGAGATAACAAGAGAAAGCCCAAGCAGACATTGAGAGAACATGCAAACCACACAGACAGTGGCCCTGGCCAGCAATTACTAGTATTGTTGTTGTTTCCTCATTAATGTTAGAATGAAACATTGAACAAAATTACATTATTCAAGGACCTGCCGAATATATATATATATATATATATATATATATATATATATATATATTTAAATATATTTTTGTTGATTTTTTACAGAAAAGAAGTAAGAGGGACAGAGAACTAGAAACATCGATGAGAGAGAAACATAGATCAGATGCCTCCTGCACACTCCCCTACTGAGGATGTGCCGCAATCAAGGTATATGCCCTTGACCGGAATCGAACCTGGGACCCTTCAGTTCGCAGGCCAATGCACCATCCATTGAGCCAAACCAGTTATGGCTAGTTCTACATCATTTTATCACACATTTAGATTCCTATAACACCACAATCAAAGAAATATCCCATTATCACAAAGAGTTCTCTCAGTCTACTCTTTTAGAGTCATACCCACCTCCTCTGTCCAATATCCTTAAGCCTTGGCAACCATTAATTTGATCTCTATCTCTATAATTTTGACATTTCAAGAATGTTATATAAATGGAATTATACAGTATATGACCTTCTGAGATTGGCTGTTTTCACTCAACTTAAAGCCCTTGAGATCTACCCAAGTTGTGTATCAATAGACTTTTCTATTGATGAGTAGTAGCCAATGGTATAATGTGCCAGCCTGTTTAATTATTAACCTACTGTAAGACATTCTGGCTTTTCCCCCAAGTGTTTTGCTATTGCAATTAAAGTTGCTATGAGCAACCATGCATGGGTTTTTTTGTGAGAAAATAAGCCTTTATTTCACTGGAATAAATGGCCAGCATATAAATGCTGACATATGGTAAGAGTATGTTTAGTTTTTTAAGAAACTGCTAGACTATATTCCATAGTGGTTGTACCATTTTCACATTCCCAAAACCAATATGAGATCCAATTTCTCCACATCGTCACTAGCACTACTAAGTTGTCACTAGTCTTTATTTCAGCTGTTCTCATAAATATGTAAGTGATGATGCTCATCAAGGTCTTAATTTGCATTTCCCTGTTGTCCATTGACATTTAACATCTTTTTATGTGTTTATTTGCCACCAGTATATCCTCTAATCCTACTCCAAACTCTAGAGGAGATAACTCTACAATACTATCTGCAAAGACATGTCTGTATTTATGAAACAATTGGAAAAACCAGAAGCTTCATAAGCCCTTCCTCTTCCCAAATAATTCAGTCCAGAAGTAACTAGGTGGTGTGATCAAAGTCAGCATCATGCAGGAAGAGGCTAGAGATTAATTCCATACAGACTGACTAGTCAGGTAAATATACTGATAATAATCAAAGTCTGGTTTCTGTATAAAAGAACTGCAAATAGAAAAACAAAACACTGCAAGTAAGTCCTGTGATATTCGACTAAAATCCACAGACACACACATATACAGACACACACACACACACACACACACACACACACAAAGGGTGATTGAGAAATGTAAACATAGAGTCCCTAAATCTAGCCAGTTCATTAGAGAACTGGCAAATTCCAGGGCTAGCGAAGGGAAATACAAGATGAACATCTTCTTGGGCCAGAAAATCAGGAAATGCTCAAAGAATGATGTGTGTATCTTAAATGAATATAGAAGCCATCTTGAAGTGGTTCCCACTGACCAAATCACAGGAAATTGAACATCAAAATAAATGATAGTAACAGGTTATGACTCTGGAATAAAACTGAAATCCCTTAGTACAAAATAAATAAATAAATACAAAATTTGATGAGAAAGCCTCAAAGTAACTGTCCACAAAAATTATTAATTACAAAGAGTAAATAATTTTATAATAGAAAGGACCTAGCTAGTACCATCTTAATCAAAGGTTCAAAGTTAATATCAACAGTAATGGGACACAATGAAATTAAATGTCACCTGATAGGACAGATGAGAACACAGGATCACTTCCCTGATATTTCCTGTCAAAGGAATCTAAGATTAGCCTACTTCATAAGGAAGTATCAGAGAAAACCAAAATAGAGATAACCTACAAAATAACTGTCCTGTATCTTCAAAAGTGTAAAGGTCAAGAAAGTCAAGGAAAGACTGAGGAATTGCAATATTCTAGTGTGAAGACCACGAAAAGACATGACAACTAATGTAAAGTGTGATTTTGTACTGGATCTTATGGCTATAAAGCAAACTTAAGGGGCAATTGGCTTAACTTCAATCGATGGTGGTAATGCCACAATATTAATTTTCTGGTTTTGTCAGTTGTATTAAGTTATCCAAGAGAATATACTTGTTTGTAGGAAACATATACTGAAGAATTAGGGGTGATGGAACATCTATCTGCAACTCTCTCTCAGATGGTTCCAGAAAAATATTTATAGTGTCCTGCAACTTTATCGCTTCTCGGCCTTTTGGCTAAGATCAAGTGTAGTATAGTGTCCTGCAACTTTGCTATAAATATGAAATTGTTTCAATTACAAAATTAAATATATTGCAGCCAGTGTAGCTCAGTGGTTGAGCATCAGCCCATGCACCAAAAGTTCGATTCCTGGTCAGGGCACATGCCTGGGCTGTGGGCTCAGTCTTCAATGGGCGGCATGCAGGAGGCAGCCAATTGATGACACTCACATCATTGACGTTTCTTTCTCTCCCTCTTCCTAGCTCTCTCTGAAATGTATAAAACATTTTTAAATTAAATATGAACACCTTTTCACATATTCACATAAAATAGGCTACTATAACAAAGGTAAACAACTTTATTTATTTATTTTTAAATATATTTTATTGATTTTGTACAGAGAGGAAGGGAGAGAGAGAGAGAGAGTTAGAAACATCGATGAGAGAGAGTCATCAATCAGCTGCCTCTTGCACACCCCCTACCGGGGATACGCCCGCAACCAAGGTACATGCCCTTGACCGGAATCGAACCCGGGACCCTTCAGTCCCCAAGCCGACGCTCTATCCATTGAGCCAAACCGGTTTTGGCAAGGTAAACAACTTTTTTTTTAAAAAAAAGCAAAATTAGAAAAATATTTCCAGGCAAATTAAAAAAAACAAAAAAAAGCTGGGGTAGCAATGCTTATATCTGAAAAAAATAGACCTCAAAGTGAAGGCCTGTTTGTAACAACAGATACTACCATGTTTCCCCAAAAATAAGACATCCTCCGAAAATAAGACCTAGTGCATGGAAAAATAAGACATCCCCTGAAAATAAGACCTACTACATCTTTGGGAGAAAAAATTAATATAATACACTGTCTTATTTTCCGGGAAACAAGGTAGTAAGGAAGACCATTTCATATCACTAAAGGGATCGATACAAGAGGCTATAACTTTGGTAAACATATATGCATCCATTACAGGAACATCTAAATATATAAAAAAAACTTCAGGAGGATATCAAGGAGAGATCAACAGCAATATGATCACAGTAGGAGACTGACATCACTGGATAAATCTCCTAGACCAAAAATCAACAAGGAAACAGCAATCCTAAATGACAGTCTAAAACAGATGGAACTAATTGATATCTTCTTCCTCAAAGCTACAGAATATACGTTCTTCTCAAGTGCACACTGGGCATTTTCAAAGATAGACCACATGTTAGGACACAAGATAAATCTACAAATTCAAGAAAACTGAAAAAACATCAAGCATCTTCTCAGTCCACAATGGCATGGAATTAAAAATCAGCTACAATAAAAACGCTCAAAAATAATCAAATAACTGGAGGCTAAATAGCATGCTATCCTATATAAAAGGGTAATACGCAAATCAACTGAATGGCAGAACGACCAATCGCTATGATGTGCACTGACCACCAGGGAGCAGACACTCAACACAGGAGCTGCCTCCTGGTGGTCAATGCACTCCCACATGGGTAGTGCCGCTCAACCACAAGCCAGCCTGATAGCTAGTGAGTGCAGCTGCCACTGCGATAGCGCTAAGGATATCCAACTGATGGCTTGAACCCGCTCCCTGAAGCCATCAGTCAGACATCCTCTGAGAACTGAGAGACAACCCCCCTCCCTACAGTGCACAAATGTCCTGCACTGGGCCTCTAGTTAAGCAATGATTGGGTTACTAAAAAGGTCAAAGAAGGAATAAAAAAAAAATACCCTGAAAATAAGTAAAAATGAAAACACTCCAAAATCTATGGGACATATGAAGCAGGGAAGTTCATAGCACTACAGGCCTACCTCAAAAAAATAAGAAAAAGTGTCAGTAAGTTATCTAACAATACAAATAATAGAAAAGAACAACAAGAAACACCCAGAATAAGTAGAAAGAAGGAAAAATAATGATCAGAGTTGAAATAAATAATAGACAAAAAAAAAATACAAAAGATCAATAAAATCAAGAGTTGGGTCTTCGAAAAGATAAATAAGACTGATGAACCTCTAGCCAAACTCACCAGGAAATGGAGAGAGAGAGACCCAAATAAACAAAATCAGAAACAAAAGAAGTGAAGTAACAACTGACCCCACAGAAATACAACGGATCATTAAAAAATGTCATGAAATACTTTATTCCAACAAATGGACAGCCTGGACAAAATGGACATATTCCTAGAAAAATACAACCTTCCAAAACTCAATCAGGAAGAATCAGAAAACCTGAATAGGCCAATAACTACTAATGAAATTGAAGCAATAATCAAAACACTCCCACCCAACAAAAGTCCTGGTCCGACAGATTCAATACAGCAGTTTTACCAAAATATTCTTCTCAAACTATTTCAACAAATTCAAGAGGAAAGGACACTTCCAAACACTTTTGAAGAAGCCTGCATTACTCTAATTCCAAAACCAGATAAAGACACTGCAGAGAAAGAGAACAAGCCAGCATCCCTGATGAACATACTTAGATGCTAAAATCCTCGACAAAATTTTAGCAAATCAGATCCAGCAATACATTAAAAAAATCACACATCATGACCAAGTGGGATTTATTCTGGGGATGCAAGGCTGATACAATATTTGCAAATCAATTAAATGTTATACTGCACCTAAACAGATTGCTAGACTGTCAAAAATTACATGATCATATCAACTAATGCAGAAAAAGCGTTCGACAAAATCCAACACCTTTTTTTTGGTAAAAACTCTCAGCAAAGTGGGAATAGAGGGATCATACCTCAAATTAATAAAGGCCATATATGACAAACATATAGCCAACATCATAGTCAATGAGCAAAAAGTAAAACCATTACCCCTAAGAACAGGAACAAGACATGGATGTCCGCTTTCCCCAGTTTTTTCAACATAGTAATTACTTGCAATCAGACAAGAAGAAGAAACAACAGACATTCAAATTGGAAAGGAGGAACTAAAACTCTCAATATTCCCAGGAAAAATGATACTGCACATAGAAAACCCTAAAGACTTCATTAAAGCTACTAGATTTAATAAATGAATTCAGAAAAGTAGCAGGATACAAAAATAACACCCAAAAATTCATAGCATTTTTATACATACTAGTGAACTCTCAAAAAGAGAAACTGAAAAAAAAAAAATAATCCCATTTACTACTGCAACAAAAAAATTAAGATACTTAGGAATAAACTTAGCCAAGGAGGTAAAAAACACACACACCTGTACTCCAAAAATTACAGAACGTTGAAAAAGAGATAGAGGAAGATATAAACAAGTGGAAGAATATACCATGTTCATGGATTGGTAGAATTAACATTAAAATGCCCGTACTCCTGAAAGCAATCTATAAATTCAATGCAATCCCCATTAAAATACCAACGGCATATTTCACAAACATGGAACAAACATTCCAAAAATGTATATGAAACCAAAAAAGACCCCAAATAGCTGCAGCAATCTTGAGAGAAGAACAAAGTTGGAGGACTCACAATACCAAATATTAAGCTATACTACAAAACCAGTGTTTTCAAAACAGCCTGGTACTGGCACAAGAACAGGCATATAAATCAATGAAACAGTACAGAGAACCCAGAAATCAACTCAAGTGACTATGCTCAATTAATATTTGACAAAAGAGAGAGCATACAATGGAGTCAAGACAGTTTCTTCAGTAAATGGTATAGGGCAGTGGTCGGCAAACTGCAGATCGAGAGCCACATGCGGCTCTTCAGCCCCTTGAGTGTGGCTCTTCCACAAAATACCATAGTCTGGGCAAGTCTATTTTGAAGAAGTGGCATTAGAAGAAGTTTAAGTTTAAAAAATTTGGCTCTCGCCGGGACCGGTTTGGCTCAATGGTTAGAGTGTCGGCTTGGGGACTGAAGGGTCCCGGGTTCAATTCCGGTCAAGGGCATGTACCTTGGTTGCGGGCACATCCCCAGTAGAGGGTGTGCAAGAGGCAGCTGGTCGATGACTCTCTCTCTCATCGATGTTTCTAGCTCTCTATCTCTCTCCCTTCCTCTCTGTATAAAATCAATAAAAATATATTTAAAAAAAAAAAAAAAAAAAAAAAAAAAAATTTGGCTCTCAAAAGAAATTTCAATTGTTGTACTGCTGATATTCTCTGCTGACGAGTTTGTCGACCACTGGTATAGAGAAAATTGGACAGATTACATGCAAAACTAGACTACCAACTTACACCAAACACAAGAACAAACTCAAAATAGATAAAAGACTTAAATGTAAGGCATGAAACCATAAAATTCCTAGAGAAAACCATAGACAGCAAAATCTCAGGCATCTCTCATAGCAGCAATGTTTACAGATATATCTCCTAGGACAATGGAAACTAAGGAGAAAATAAACAAATGAGTCTATATTAAAGTAAAAAGCTTCTGTACTACAAAAGAAACCATCAACAAAATAACAAGAGAGCCCACTAACTACATGGGAGAACATTATTTGGCAATGATACATCTGTTAAGGGGTTAATCTCCAAAATATATAGGGAACTCCAACAAAAGGAAGACAATCCCATTACAAAATGGGTAAAGGACCTAAATAGACATTTCTCCAAAGTGGACATACAGATGGCCAAGAGACAATGCTCATCCCAGAGATGCAAATGAAAAAGACAATGAGCCAATCATCAACAAATCAACAAACGACAAGTGTTGGCAAGGATGTAAAGAAAAGGAAAGTTAGTACACTGTTGGTGGGAATGCAGACTGGTGCAGCCACTGTGGAAAACAGTATGGAGTTTGCTCAAAAATTAAAAAGGGAAGTGCCATTTGACCCAGTGACCCCACTTCTAGAAATATAACATACAAAACCCAAAATACCAATCAGAAAGAATATATGCACCCCTTATGTTCATAGTAGTGTAATTTCTAACTGCCTAACTCCCTTTTGATTAAATAGTTTTGTCAACACAGTAAATTTGACAAAGAAATGTGAAAATCATTGTGTTTACATAAATGATCCTGGCCAAAAAATCCACTTGACCTATCATTATGTTCACTATTTTCAGCCAAAAATTTAAGTGTTTTATAAATTTCAATTTTGTTTCATTCTGGAGTTAAATCTGGCCACACAACAAATAACAAAGTCTTCTCCATGTGTACTTAATGTCATTAAGATTGTCATAGAACCACATGAGTTAGCACTTTAAGCATACTTAAAGTGTCATTTAGAGGTTTTTTTATTTTTATTTTTTGTTAATCCTCACTGGAGGATATTTTTCCATTGATTTTGAGAGAGTAGAAGGGAGGGTGCAAAACAGAGAGAAAGAAAGGAAGAGAAACATCAATGTGAGAGACACATCAATTGGTTGCTTCCCACACATGCCCCAACCAGGGCTGGGGATGAAGCCTGCAACCAAAGTACATGCCCTCAAACAAACGCTAACTGAGGGCCCTTCAAACCCAGGATCCTTTAGTCTATGGGAAGACATCCTATCCAGTCAGGACTAGAGTTTATTTTTAATAGTTATGGAATCAAGTGAGGGCTCAAGTTTATTTTCCACTAGAGGCCCAGTACACAAAATTCATACATACGTAGGGTCCCTAGTGGCTGCTGGTTACTGGCCAGGGCCTCCCTTTCCCTGGCCACCTGCAACCACCTCCCTCCCGTGTGGTGCAGGGCTGGCCAGGGGAGGGGCTATGGACAGTTGGCCAGCTGGCCCCGCCCTGGTCGAACTCCCAAACTCCAGATTAAGGGGACAATTTGCATATTAGGTTTTTATTATATAGGATAGTTATGGAATCAAGTGATCTAGCACTTTAAGATTAAAGTACTATCTAAGGTTTATTTTTAATAGTTTTCATCTACCTATTATTGTTCTTTCAGCTCAATTCACCTAGTATAGAGCAGTGGTTTTCAGCTGGTGTGCCACAAGAATTTTTAACATATATAATACCTGACTACTTAAATCAGGAGCACTGACCTCTTTTTCCCCGAGTATGTCAAATTTAAAAAATGACAATAGCCAATATAACAATAGCTATCCAGTGTGAATGAATCAAAATTATACCTATTTTTGCCAGATTAGTAAAAAAATATATATATTTTTTGGTGTGCTGCAGAATTTTAGTAATTAGTTTGTGTGTCATGCAATGAAAAAGGTTAAAAATCGCTGGTTTGGAGTATTTTAGTGACAGGAAAAAAACAGAAAATAAGTAAGCCTATGTAAATTTAATCTTAATGCCTAGATATCTGGGTATTGGAAGGGATAAACTAGAACTAGAGTAGAGAACGAAAAGACAAGAAAGGCATTGCCCTTTGATATGCACTGTGTTTCCCCGAAAATAAGACATCCTCCGAAAATAAAACCTAGTGCATGGAAAGATAAGACATCCCCTGAAAATAAGACCTAGTGCAACTTTGGGATAAAAAATTAATATAAGACACTGTCTTATTTTCGGGGAAACAGGGTATCAAATAAAAGGGAAAATAATCACTTGGGGATTTAGAATTCAATATTTGCTGATATTGGCAAAGAGTGAATAATACAATTTAGCAATGACTGAATGTCTATTTCTTTCCACAAGCAATTAAATATTTTAAGTACTTGAAACCTAACATTGGCATACATCTGCCTTTTTCCCCCTTGGCGCCTCAAAAAACAGTGAAATATAAATTGTATATCCATAAAAGCATTTATTTTTTTCATCTGATTGCAAGACTTTAATCCCTTATTCTAGAGATGAGAGTTGAATGATATTAAACTAATCAAGCAAGCCTTCATCAGACTAGGTAGCAGACCAGAACTGAATTCAATAAACATTTTGTGTGCCTAAATGTATCCAAACATAGAAAAAGCACAGTAAAGCCCAGCATAAAAGATTAAAAATGGTATACTGTGTAGGGCACTTACATGAATGAAACTTGCAGGACTAAAAATTGCACTAGGTGAGTCAGTGAATGAATGAGTGGTGAGTGAATGGGAAGACATAGGATATGTCTATACACTACTGTAGACTTTGTAAACATTGAATACTTAGACTACACTATATTTATTTAAAATAGTATAGCACTGCACTACTACATCACTAGGCAATAGAAATTTTTAGCCCCATTATAATCTTTTGGAACCACTGTTCTATCACTGACACTTTGTTATGTGATACATGACCATATTTAACACTAATGGTATTCAGCTTGGAAGAGATCACTACTAATCACCTTTCAATCTTACCTACTAATTCCTTTCTAATATCCTCCAATTAAATCCTAGTACAATACTCAGTTCTTTGAAAAGCCTCCAACTTCCTACCCCACTACATATACTGTTCTCTCATTTGAAATGCACATGTCAAAGAACATTTATAGATCCATAATCATATACCTAGGAGGGATCTTACTCCTCTTATCTTAATCTGCAAGTTGGAAACTTCTGTTGCTTACTTCACTACAAAACTGGCATTCTTTCCATTAGTGCTTCTCCAATACTAATATGCCCCAAAACAAACTTCACTGGTTATTAAAAACACAGATTTCCGATCCTCATCCACAAAAATCATACTCTAATAATTTGGGTTAGGGCTAGAATGCACTTTTTTTTTTTTTTTTTTTTAATAAGCACATCATAATAAGAATGATGTTAAAGGGGAAAAGAGCACATTAAGAATATATACTTTAAAAAAAAAAATAGCCTGTAGTACTTAGCACATTATCTCAAATTTTCCATTTCTGCCCCCATATTGGAACCTCCAAAAAACAGCTACTCACTGCTACTTGTGCTGAATCCATAAATCTCAGTCCAAAATAGTCGCTTTCAATTAGGTCCAAGTGGTATGTAATCTGATCAAACAGCTCTTGACCTTTGGCTTTTTTCTGAAATGGCAAAAAAATAAATGAATCAGTAAATGGTTTGCAGGGAGTGTAGGGTGTGGGTGGAGGAGGGCAAACGAAGGAAAATGGAAAATCCTATCTAATAAAGGAGTAATATGCAAACTTACCATACCTCTGCTACACCCACAAGCCACGCCAACCAGCCAATCAGGGGCAAGTATGAAAATTAACCCCAACCAAGATGGCTGCGGCCACACAGAGAGCAGGAGGCTTGGGTTTCCTCGGCAATGGAGGAAGCCAAGCTTTCCAGCTGCCCTGGCCTGCCTTGGCCTCCACTTAAGTCTAGAAAGTTTCAATTATAGAAGATAAATAAATACCAACAAAAATGGCTGTGGCCACGGAACAAGCAGGAGGCTTGGCTCCACTCAAGGCTACGAAGTTTCAATTACAGAAGATAAATAATTCCTAGATCCCAGGGCCTCTGCTTGGGTGGCCAAGGGGCGTGGCCAGCTTGCAAACAACCACAGGCCCCTCCTCAGGCTGCCCCACGCCCCAAGGGAACCCCCAACCTGATCCAGGACACCCTTCAGGGCAAACCAGCCAGCACCCAACCATGCACCAGGCCTGTATCCTATCTAATCCTCCTATCTAATAAAAGAGTAATATGCAAATTTACTGTTGACTGTCACTCCAACACACAATATGGCTGCCTCCATATGGTCAAAGATGACTTAGCCCATGGGGACACAAGATGACCACCACAAGATGGCCAGCAGGGAAGGGCATTTGGGAGGGACCAATTCTGCAAGGGAGGGCAGTTGTGGGTAATTAGGCCAGCAGGGGAGGGCAGTTGGGATGGACCAGGCCTGCAAGACAGGGCAGTTAGGGGTGACCAGGCCAGCAGAGGAGGGAAGTAGGGGAGAGACCCAGGCCTGAAGGGGAGAGCAGATGGGGAGCACCAGATCTGCAGGGGAGGACAGTTAGGGGCAAACAGGCTGGCAGGGGAGCAGTTAGGCATCAATCAGGCTGGCAGGGAAGTGGTTAGGGAGTGATCAGGCTGACAGGTAGAAGTGGTTAGGGGTAATCAGGAAGGCGAGCAGTTGGGAGCCAGCAGTCCTGGATTGTGAGAGGGATGCCCGACTGCCCGTTTAGATCCGATCTCACCGGTGGCATCAGGCCTAAATGGGCAGTCAGCCATCCCTCGAGGGGTCCCAGATTGGAGACAGTGCAGGCTGGGCTGAGGGACACTCCTCCCCCCCCCCTCTCATGCATGAATTTTGTACACTGGTCCTCTAGTATCTGTAATAATGACCCCCCCCCAAAAAAAATGACTTGCAGTATCAACAATCCAAAATGAAGATGGTTTTAGTTATAAATAACTCTTAAAAGAAAAAGAAAGAAACCATTAGTTGTAATACTAAAAGTACCATGTAGCAGATACTATAGTTTTCTAATAAATCATTTAAGGCCAAAAGAGAATTTGTGATCTCTATGTACTCTCTGGAGAATGTTTCTTCCTATCAACCAACAAGTACTACTTTGTACCTAACTGTGTTAGGAGACACTCTTATCTTGTCAATTTTTAGAGTCTCTGCTTTAAAAAAAAAAAAAAAAAAAAGAGCTTTATAACTGGAAAGAGAAAACACACAAGAAAACTTAGAACACTTAAATATCCTCCAGTTAACCAACTATATTTGCCAATAAATTTTGAAGAGACAGTCACAGATACTAGAACTATCAGTGAAGCCAATTATGTGGAAACAACTATATTTGCCAATAAATTTTGGAGATGAGATAGTCACAGAGACTAGAATTACCAGTGAAGACTTGAAGATCAATCTGAAACTGGAGAGGAATAACAAGGTAAGAAATAAAAAAACAAAACTGGAAGATGGGAGGGAATACCGAAAATGAGAAAACTATAATTGATGCAGAAGACACCAAACTAGAGGAAGAGGGGCAAATATCAAAGAAATTTGTATAGAAAAAGCAATTTCAAAGTGTGATCCCTAAGGATTCCCCAAATTGTTTTGAAAGATCTACAAGGTCTAGGATTCTCCTCATGTACATCAATCAAAATGACACTTGCAACAGAGTGAATGCAAAAGCAGATAACAGACTCTAAGTATGTTTTATTAAATCAGATGTTTAAAGAAATTTATGAAAATGCATAAAATATTATTACTCTTCCCACTAAATTACTTTGCTGTTTAGTACAATATTTATTTTCCATTAAAATGTTACTTATGCCCTAGCCCGTTTGGCTCAATAGATAGTCAGCCTGTGGACTGAAGGGTCCCAGGTTCAATTCTGCCAAGGGCACATACCTGGGTTGTGGGCTCGATCCCCAATAGGTGGTGTACAGGAGGCAGCCAATCAATGATTCTTATCATTGATGTTTCTATCTCTCTATCCCTCTCCCTTCTTCTCTAAAAACCAATAAAAATATATTTTTTAAAAATGTGACTTAGGTTAACATACAAGGGGTACTTTATTGCTATTTTTAAACAATGATTTTAATTTTCAGTATTAATTTCTAATAACTATGGATAGATATAGCACCCTCATAAGCAAATGCTTTGTTAGTATGCTCAATTTTCAGATATTTTCATATCAATCCAATCCATGCCCCTCTCCCAATATGACTTCATATTATGATTTAGGGTATATCTTATAAACAAACATATATTGGATTCTTTTTGAGTCATCAATCTCTGCCTTTTAACTGACTTTATTATTTCAATTTGTCTATTTTTTTTCCTGAACTTCCTTTTACATTCTTTCTTATTAATAACTAAAATGTTATACCTTTTATCAAGCCAAGAACTTTACCATGCTCTCATGCCTCTGATCTCCCTTCTACCCAATCTTCATCATGTGTTACGGATATATTTCCTCTATTTCTTTTCTTTGACCTGGCTAATTTTTTAAACAATCTTTTCACTAGTCATTCTTTACACATCTTACATGTGTACATTACACATCTAATAACATCTGCGCTTTTCCTCAGAAATGTTCCCCATGTTGGATTCTGTATGGCTGATCTCAATATCTTGAGAATATTTTAATATTCAATGCGTTGGAGAATAATTTAATCATGCTCTTTTACTTGAATGATGGTTGGTTGGATTCAGGGTTTGAAGTTATTTTCTTTTAATCATCTTTTCAATACTTAAAATATATTACTCTATCATCTTATCTGTAATAATAAAATGGTAATATGCTAATTAGACCAGATGTCCTTCGTCCTTCCTGATGAACCCAAGGCCTGAGGGAAGCCAGTCAGGGTCCTGGATGCCTGCGGAAAGCTGAAAGAAAGCCAGCCCAAGTCTCCGGTGACTGCTGGCAGCTGGAGGAGGGAAGCCCGGGTCCTGAGTGCGAGAGGGAAGCTGGTGCTGGCAGCTGGAGGAAGAAGGCCTACTCTTGCACGAATTTTCATGCATCAGGCCTCTAGTCTATAGTAATAAAAGGATAATATGCTAATTAGACCAAACAGCTAAACAAGCTTCAGGACAAAGCCACACAGCTGGGGGTCAGGGCAGAGGCAGTTAGTGGCAATCAGGCAGGCAGGCAGAGTGGTTAGGGGTCATTAGGCAGAGGCAGTTAGGGACAATCAGGCAGGAAGGCAGAGTGGTCAGGGACAATCAGGCAGGCATGCAGAGTGGTTAGGGAAAATCAGGCAGCCAGACAAATGGTTAGGAGCCAGCAATCCCAGGTAATGAGAGGATGTCCTATTGCAAAGGGCCTAAACCAGCAGTTGGACATCCTGAGTAGTCCTGGATTGTGAGAGGGTACAAGCCAGGCGGAGGGACCAACCCACCCCCAACCCCCATGGTATGAATTTTGTGCATCGAGCCTCTAGTAGTCTATATTGCTGTTTCAAAGGGTGATGTCAATTTGAATCTTGTTCCCTAATAATATTATTTATTCTCTTGGATAAGCTTTAGACTTTTCTCTACCCTCTGATAGTTTTAAATTTCACTATAATGGTCTAGTTGGAGGTGTTTTCTTAACTCTACTCGGTATTCTATTTGGGCCTGAAATCTAAGATCTTTCATCTCTTTTTAATTCTGGAGAATAAATCTCTATTATTTCCTCAATTATTTCTCCTCTATTTTTGTCATTTTAAGTTTCCTACGTAAGTGTTAGCACTTCTAATTTGTGGGTGTTTTAATAGTCAATTAATAATCTTATTGACTATGTATAGTTTTTTTTTAATAAATACAAAACAGACAAAAGTTCAGAAAGCTTTAGTTATATGACAAAATAACAGGGATAAAAAAATGACAAGGCTAGAATTTTAATTTTGCTGTCTCCCAATCTCAAATTCCCTAAGGGTTACACAGTCCAGATTTTATTTGAAATGTCACTTCTCAAATCAATAATCAGATACCCCAACCTTTTATCACAACCTCCTTTTCTAACATGTTCAGAAATTACTCTGAATGTCTAGATTCTCCAACCATATGGGAACTTCTGGTACTCCTGATCCCACTTAACAAGAATCAGCCCCAGCCCCAGTTTTCCTACTTTAACATAAAATTTACCATTTTAAAACATACAATGTAGTGTCATTAAATATATGGCACTTTGTACCCAATCAGAAACTTTGAACCCATTAAACAATCACTTCTCATATCCCCTTTCTTTATCTCTGGCAACTTCTTTCATACTTTCCCCCACTGAATGGGGTTAGCATCTTTGTGGAAAATCATTTGACCATATATTTCAGAGTTTATTTCTAGACTCTCCATGTCGATCTGTATGCCAGAACCACACTGCTTTGATTATTAAAGCTTTGTAGTAAGTTTTGAAATAAAGATGTGAGTCCAACTTTTTTCTTATTTTTCAAGATTGTTTCGGCTATTTGGAGTCCCTTGAGATTCCACATATATTTTAGAATTTTCTTTCCTATGTTGTAAAAAATGTCCTTGGAATTTTGACAGGAATTACATTGAATCTATAAACAGCTTTGATTGGTATTGTCCTCTTAACAATATTACGTTTTCCAATTTATAAACATAAGATATCTTTCATTTATT